TTCGGCCCATCCCGAAGAAGGGTGACCATTCTAATCCCTCTAACTATCGCCCCATTGCCCTAACTTCATCCCTCTCAAAGATTTTCGAAACTATCTTGAACTCCCATTTTCTCCGTCACCTTGAACGCCTTTCCCTTTTGTAGGATCACCAGTATGGCTTTCGCCAGGCGAGATCTATTGGTGATCTGCTCTCCTATTGTACCCATCTTTGGTCATCCTTTCTTAGGGACTATGGGGAAACTTTTGTCGTGGCCCTCGACATCTCCAAAGCATTTGACAGGGCATGGCACAAGTCTTTGCTATCTAAACTTCCCTCTTTTGGTTTCTCTCCCCCACTTTGTTCTCTCATCTCTAGCTTCCTTGAGAACCGATCCATGGCAGTTGTTGTCGAGAGATCGATTTCTCGCTCTTTCTCTACCAATAGTGGCGTCCAACAGGGTTCTGTTCTTTCACCAACTCTCTTCCTTCTTTTTATCAATGATTTACTTCCATTCTATCCATTCTTACGTCGATGATTCTACTCTTCACTTCCTCACATTTTCCCCTTCCTCCTAACTCTCAAACTAGATCTGTTTCTAGAACTGATATCATTACTTCTATCAACGCGGATCTGTGCAGCATCTCTGAATGGGGGATACAAACTTGGTTAAGTTCAATAGTAATAAAACTCAATATTTACCAATTACATTTTGTAAATTAGATGATCTCCCACCAATTACATTTCAGGACGCTATCATCCTCCCAAATTCTGAAATAAATATGTTAGGCCTCACCATTTCCTCCAATATGTCCCAGAAATCACACATCCTTAGTATAACTAAAGCTGCCTCCCGAAAGTTGGGAATGCTGTACAGATGCCGCAGCTACTTCATTCCTGAGCAGTTGTTCCAAGTATATAAGAGATTCATTCGTCCTAACTTGGAGTACTGCTCTCATATCTGGGGTGGCTCTTCTTCTGTCCAACTATTAGTTAGGGTAGAATCAAAGGCATTTCGTCTTATTAACTCTCCTCCTTTAGTCGACAATCTCTCTTCCCTTTCTCTTCGCCGCAATGTTGCTTCACTCTCTCTCTTTTACAGGTACTTTAGCGGGCAATGTTCAGTGGATTTGGCATCCTGTGTACCGCCGGCAAGGCCGTTGGCTCGTAACACACGTCTTGCCCGCGGTGCCCACTGTATGATATATATGGACACAAAGTAGTACCTTCAGCTGTATATTATTATATTACTCTTATATTACTCTTATTAATTATGTATAGTACAGTATTACAGAACATGTATTAATTCTATGTAATATTCCCATTTATTGTGCACCATATTATGTATATAAATTATCACATTTATACTTTATGTATTCAGCTTGTGAATGCTGGCATCTGTACAGGCCAGCGCGTAGTAATACATAGATAGATGAAAAGAGAGAAGACAGAGTCCTCGTGGCGTGACCGCGGGCTTCTGCGTCCTATTGTATATATATCTCCCGTACGAGAATAGAACCTACTTTTAAGACAACAAGTGTTTGTGTATACCCTCAGTAGTATAGAACACTCTTTGGGTATCCCTAGCAACACGCTAGACCCACCATTTCTCTGTGGATGTCGGTCACACGAGAATAACCCGTTATAGTATCTCCTTCTTTCCTCACACAGCCAAGCTGTGGAATGCTCTGCCTTCTTCTGTGTTTCCATGCTCTTACAATGTCTCACTTTAAAAAGCTGGTTTTCCGGCATCTTTGTGGGGTAGATTAATACAGTATAACCTTTTTTTCTATATTTACAATTTCTTTCCGGTTTTTTTTCGCTCCCCAGGCTCCGTTGTGGATCGTTTGACCTGTGCCCAGGTGGGCTAATTCCCGTAAAAAAAAAACTATCAGGAACGCCCGCTCTATCAATCACGCCCCACTATTAACCACGCCCACACCATCAGTCACGCCTACGTTATCAGTCACGCACACGTTATCAGTCACACCCACGCTATCAGTCACATCCACACTATCAATCACACCCACGCCAAGTTTCACACCCACGCTGTCAGTCACGCCCACGCTGTCAGTCACGCCCACACTATAAGTAACACCCACACTATCAGTCACGCCCACGCTGTCAGTCACACCCACGCTATCAGTCACACACACACGTTATCACTCATACCCACACTATCATTTAAACCTATGCTATCAACCACACCCAAGCTGTCACTCGCTCACACACACACACATGACCAGTCACGCCAATGTCTTGTCGCTACCTCATTGTGTATTTATGAAGAAAATGGCGCATTGCAAAACAGATGAAACTAACACGCTATTACAATGAACACCGTCTATCAACCTTCCTGTGGGTGCGTGACTGTTATCTGCCTGGCGACAAAGGAACTGAAGTTGTTGTAAATGAGTTTTATTTGTAATTTAAAAATGAATTTGTCCTCTGTGTGTGTGTGTGTGTGTGTGTGTGTGTGTGTGTGTGTGTGTATGTGTCATTATCCAAGCCTATATATAATTCAAATCGGTATTTACATATTAATTACAGCAACTCAGGTAACTATTGCTAATAACTTTTACCATTTTGGTAATATTTGCAAATTTTAACATCTAAAAAAAAGGTAGTGAAAGAAATTATAGTAATAATAGAATACAATAATATCTTGAAAATACGAAATATAAAAGAGACGGAAACTGATATACAATGGCGGCCATATAAGTTGTTGTTGAGGTCATCGTGTGCTTCAGGTGTACCTAAGAACATAAGAACATTTGAAAATAAGGAGTCTGCAATAGGCCGGCTGGGCTGTGCATGGCAGCTCCTGTCGAGAGTTACTACCACTTCCTATCATCCATGGATCTATTTAGCCTCCTTTTAAAACTTTCCAGCGTTCCAGCACTTACTACAAAGTTGCTAAGCTTGTTCCACTCGTCTACCACCCTATTTATGAACCAGTTCCCTCCTATCTCCCTCCTAAACCTAAACTTATCCAACTTAAATCCGTTGCTACGAGTCTTATCCTGCTCGGATATTATAAAAACTTTATCTACTGTATATCTCCTCTATTGATTCCTTTCACCCACTTAAATACTTCTATCAAATCTCCCCGCACTCTTCGTCTTTCTAGGGAATGCAAGTTTGGTTTCTTTAGTATATCTTGATATGGAAGGTTTCTAATTCCCGGAATCATTTTCGTCATTTTTCGCTGCACCGACTCCAGTGAATTGATATCCATTCCATAATAAGGGCACCAGAACTGAACAGCATAATCGAGGTGCGGCCTGACTAGCGTAAGATATAGTTGCAATAAGACCTCTGCACTCTTATTACTTACACTTCTAGATATAAAACCTAATACTCTGTTTGTCTTATTTCAAATATTAACGCACTGATTTCTAGGCAGTAGGTCCGGACTTACAAGGACCCCTAAGTCTCCTTTCACAAGTTGACTTCTCTAGGTTGATGTTGTTAAGCTGTATACATTGACAGTATTTGTTTTTCCAATATTAAGTACGCTGCACTTGTTGGTATTGAATTTCATTTGCCATATTTCTGACCACTGATGCAGTTTATTTAAATCCTCCTGTAGTGCATTTACTTCCTGCCCTGAATTAATCTGCCCCCCTATTTTGGTGTCATCCGCAAACTTGCTTATGTCACTGCTGATCCCAGTATCTAGATCGTTTATGTAGATTATGAACAAGAGTGGGCCTAGTACTGACCCCTGGGGAACCCCACTTGTTACACAGCCCCACTCACATTTAACACCATCTACCTTGACCCTCTGTGTTATATCGGTGAGCCATGATTTTATCCAATTTAAAACTTTCCCCTCGATACCATGAGCCTTAACTTTTCTCAGAAGCCTCTGATGCGGTACTCTGTCAACCGCTTTGCTAAAGTCTAAGTAAATAACATCATAATTTTCGTTATTACCTACTACCTCGAAGACTTTCCTAAAAAACGTTAGCAGATTTCGTATACAAGATTTTCCCTTTGTAAACCCATGTTGAGCCGGTAATTTGACGCTGATGCTCTGTCTCCCTTTTTGATTATGTTTACTACATTTGCCTGATTCCACAAGTCTGGCACAACTCCCGTGTCTAATGATTTTGTTAATAAATTTACGAGGGGTCCGCTAATCTATTCCTCACTCTTTCAAAACTCGAGGGAAAACTTCATCTGCCCCTGGGGATTTTGTCTTCTTTAATTTATTTATCTTCTTTAGAACATCTTCTTTTCTAATAGTAATATTCTTTAATTTCTCTTCTTCATTTACCCTAAATATCAGTTCCACCTCTGGAATTTCCTCGTGAATTTCTTCTGTGAAAACTGATAAGAAGTGGCTGTTTAATGCTTTGCTTATTTTCTCACTATCATCGATCACTTCCTGTAAAGGCCTGGGAATAAGGGATTGAAATCCCTTACCAGACTAATCAGGTTCTTAATAAAGGAAAGTCAAGGACCATGGTTTTCTGAGGAAAAGCAAACAACCGTTTGAGATTGACATCTCTTTACTATAAAAAATATATAACACAAATCTCTGACACCACTCAACAAACATCAAATAATTACGGGAGTCAAACAATTAATGCCGCCAATAGTTAATGGAGTTAATCAATTAAGGGAAGCAAACAATTAAAGGAATCAAACAATTAATGGGAGTCAGCAATTAATGGATTCAAACAATTAATTGGAGTCAACAATTGATAGAATCGAACAATAAAGGGGAGTCAGCAATTAATGGAATCAAACAACCATAGACTAAAACAATGAACAGATATTTCCTACGGCAGTGGCCCTGGGGGAAGGTTCTGGAACAGGGTGATCCACACTCAGGGTAGGGAAGCGTCAATTCAACTCCACACTCAGCGACGTCTTGAAATGGCAGGAGAACACCGGGACACAGACGGAATGAGATGAACTGACGGTCGTGGTATGTGGTAGTGGTAGGTGACCAGAGAATTGACAGTCGATAAGTGAAGGTCTGGGGACACAGCCCACGAGTCCAGGACCTATGATGAGAGCACAGCCAGAATATGACGAACAGCGGGGTAGCTAGATAGTGACTGTATGGCGGCTGGGGTGAATCTGCCTGTGACACGGGTAGCAGCTGCCATTCTCACCTCTGTCCAACCGCCCTAAGTGTTGTCCGCACCAGCAAACGAGAGAGTTAGCAGCGGTAATGAGCAGGGAGATCGTTTCCGCCCTTACACTTCCCCTCTCTCTGACTTTAAAGGTCCCACTTTGTCCTTGACCTTTGTCCTATATACATGGAAAAATTCCTTGGGATTCGCCTTGGATTCTCTTGCTATCCTGACTTCTTAGTCCCTCTTTGCCTTCCTTACATTTTTTTTAACATTCCCAGATTGTTCATTATACCTATATCTGAGCTGCTCCTCCGCTCCCTCTAATTTCTTATAAATTCCTGTTTTAAGTCATGTTTAAATTTTTTGGTCATCCACCTTGGCCTCATTCTTATTTGACCTAATTTTTCTGTATGGTATATTTTGTTCTTGTGCTTTATGTAGTATACTAGTGAATATATTATAGTCATGATCAATTGTTGTGTCATCTATGACCTCACCCCTTCCTACTGGGAACTGACGTGACTGTTCCCAGGTGACCTCACCTAGGTACCTTCTTAACCCCTGATAATCCGTCAACCAAAAGTTTGGGACTCTGACCATATTGTCATTATTTTTCGTTTCCCAATTTAGGGTGAACCTGATTTCTCTGTGATCACTGTTACCTAGTTCTTCCCCTACTGTGATATCTCTGATAATATTTTCTTTGTTTGTTAATACTAGGTCTAATATATTGTCACCTCTAGTAGGTTCTGTAATTAGTTGTTTAAAAAAATTGCCCTGTACTGCGTCTAGGAAGTCGTCAGATTCAAAGTTACCTACAATGTTTTCCCAGTCAATATTTCTGAAGTTGAAATCCCTCTGAAGCAACACGTCATCATTTCCAGGGAGGAACCACAGTACCATGATGGCAGGGAGAGACATTGTGATGGTGGTGGTGTGGATGGTGATGGTTCTGTTGGTAGTGATGGCCGCAATGGCCATGGCCGGTGCATCATCAGTACTAAATTCGGTAACTTTAGGGTGGTACCGGGGAAGGCTCTGTCTGCTGGTGACTTTTACGGCGTCTACACCTTAGATAACGCATGTGAGTTACGTCATCGTCACGTTGTTTCAAAAGAGTTTCAGTAACATTTTAATCTTCTCCATTTTTTGTATTATTTAATTTAATGTAGGAATTAATGAATTATTTTGATAATAATAACAAATAAAGCCACGTAACTATTTAGCTCCCCCATAATCCTGCCCAAGATTATAACCTGAGAGAGTTAGCTGGTGATCACTGCACTTCACAGCTCAGGTAATGGTTTTGTCTAATAAATATTTTGTTCTTATTTACAGGTAATTTATTATGAATAATTTAAGTTATTGCAACTTATAATTGTACTTTTTCTCTATGATAATTTAAGACTTGCAATCACCTTTCTCTTTAAATAATAATTAGAGAATTTGTGATGAGTTTTGTGATTGTTTTGGTGTAAAATACATCATCATTATCAGCCGCGTAATTTGTGAACATTACTTATAAAAGATACTTTTACCTGTGGTGTGTTTCTTCACATATGTTAAGTAGATAAGTACTTAACCTTCAGTTCAACCCACAACTTACACTGAGGCTCAGAGACCATCTATGATATATCTATAAACTTATTCATTACACTGACGAAGGTTTTATCGGCCGTGTAGGTACGTGTCGCCTGGCGTGTTGGTCTGCCAAGCGGTGTGTGGCGGTAGCAGCGGTGCCAGATACAAGTGCCAACACGGTACAGTGCCACTTGTCTGAGAAGGGACCCATCAACCACACCCTCACCGACACCCCGGACGCCACCTACTACTTCTGGGAAGGTCAGCTGTTGGTGAATCTTTCTCGTAATACTAATGTTAATTATTGTGTGTTTATCAGTGTTGTAGAGAAGCCCGTGTTGTGGGGGTCAGTGTCGGGTCCTGGAACTGGAACAAGTTTCATATAATAAAATAATATATTGTCAGGTTGTGACTCAGTAAACAGTAAATTGTCTCTAAACAGCTTCGGTGCCAAACAACTTCTACGGGATCATGAAGGACAACTACCTGTATCTGGTGACGAACCATCAAAGAACATTTACCCACGGGAAGGAACTGTGCGCCAAGATACCTGGGCACCGCCTCGCCACCATCAAGACTGCTCGCCAGTTTGAAACAGTCACCGCCATGTTGAATGCTAACAGCATGTCTTGGGGGTCGTGTGAACGCTTTTTGCTCGACGCCATGCAATATGACCCTCTGTTATTGTTGCTATATTGGCTCTTGTGTAAACTCATTCAACAAGATAGATAGATAGTCATTATTTGTTGGGTGAGAGGTGTACCGTCAGAAGACCTGGGCAACACAATGGCTGGGTCGTAACATAAACATGATAACCTAAAGTCACGTCTTCAAGGCCTCAGCCACATTGTATGTTACTTAGCATCTCTGTTCGTCCAGCATAACCCGTCGACCGTCAGTGTGTTATTACTGCTCACGTATCTCTGGTCGTCCCGTCACCTGTCCTGACATAAGGGGCGAGGTACCCCTTGATGTGGTTCTAGGAGGATGGTAATGACAATGGGTTGTATTTAAAGGGAAAACAGGGAACCGCATAAAGATTCGCCACCTCAGCTTATTTTACCTGAGGCTTAAACACCCTAATGCTACATTGAGGGGTTAGTTGGTTAAGTTAGGTTAGCTTAGGTTTCGTTTGATTAGGTTAGATTAACTTATGTTAGGTTAGTTCATGTTAGATGAGATTAGTGAGTTAGGTTAGCTTAGGTTTCGTTTGGTTAGGTTAGCTTAACTAATGTTAGGTTAGTTCATGTTAGATGAGATTAGTGAGTTAGGTTAGATCAGTGGTTCTCAACCTTGTTTGCCCCATGCACCCCTTTCACCATATGTCAGAATGTCATTCCCCCCTCCTTTCCAAGATTGTCTGCCTCAAAAAGTGCATTCCAAATAATATGCATATAATACTGAAAATCCTTTTATTTTTTTTCCATATTAGCATTTCGCCCCTCTCTGAAAAAAACCTGAGGGGGGAAATTCCCCCCTGGTTGAGAACCCATGGGTTAGATTAACTAATGTTAGGTCAGTTCATGTTAGATTAGATTAGTGAGTTAGGTTAGATTAAGTTGAATTAGTTTAGGTCAGCATGAGGGTAGTTAAGAAATCTGAAGATAAAATTAGCTAAGGCTTCCTAATCTTAAGATGATTCTAGAAAAAGTTGCATCGTTAAAATAACCAAAAACACATCTCTCTCTCTCTCTCTCTCTCTCTCTCTCTCTCTCTCTCTCTCTCTCTCTCTCTCTCTCTCTCTCTCTCTCTCTCTCTCTCTCCTGACAGGCTGGCCAGTGTGGGTGGACCTGGAGAAGCCTGGGGTACTTGCAACACCTCTGCAGTGGGGAGATGGAACTCTGTACGGGGATGGCACCGTGACACAGCTGGCAACCGTTGTGACTGAGAGGGATTATGCAGCTGTCTACCGCCTAGAAGATCAAAACTTCGACGATAAATCAGACCCTGACCTTTATTACATCCTGTGTCAGGCTAACCCACTCGGTCTAGACTGGTAGTGAGGGAATTTCCTCATGAGGCCTTGTAGTAAGTATGTCTGGCTCAGTCTGGAGTTTTGGTAGCATAGGTGTCCTTCTAGAGTTATGGTAGTATGTAGCTCAGTCTGGATTGGTAATAGAGTGTAGTAG